AGAGAGAGAGAGAGAGAGAGAAGGCAGGAGACGGCAGCAGCCAGCAAGCTTACCGTAGCCGAGCGCGGCGCGGCGCGCGGTGTATGGGCCAGGTGCGGAGCGGGGTTTTACACACGCGAGTGGGGAGAGCGACACAACGACTCCGACTCGGCGGAGGGACGCGGGGCAACTGACGCTCCAGGCGGTGTAGAGGGGGGACGGTAGGCTTCCGTGGGACGGGTGGGTTCGGTCGCGACGCGGGGGTCAAGGGGGGAGGGGGGGGAGCCAGGCTTGCCAGCCGGCAACAGCCGACGGCTCCGATCCGCCACGATCTCTCACTCGCGCTTCCCGCGCGTCCGTTGACGCGGTCCTCCTCGCTCCCGCGACGAGTTCGATGTATCGCCGCCGCCGCCGCCGCTGCTGCCGCCGCCGCCGTTGCCGCCGTCGCCGCCGCCGCCGCCGCCGTCACCGCCGCTGCCGTGCCGTGGCACGATGTGTCGGCGAGCGACGTAGGAGGCGCGCCAGGGTGTATACGGGGTGTCCGCGATATTCGTTGGCGATTACGCGCTATTCACCCTTCGGTTCCCCCGGCGAAGAACGATTTTGCGTAATGGCGGTTGCTGCGCGAAAACGCGCCCGTTAATGCACGCGCGAACGCGCCACCGTTCGCAATTTAATTCGCGTCGTAACGCGCGGTAAATAATCGTCGCGCAATGTTGCAAGCTTGTAATGTGTAAACTCGCGTAGAATACTCGGTCTCTCTTTCTCTCTCTATCACTCTCTCCCTCTCTCGGCCCCGCAGGAAAGTGGAAATAAATGTTCCGCCAAGGGCATTTGCATAATACGAGTTTGCATAGCACACATCTTGACTGTATTTGCATAATACGGATCCTGTTTGTATTTGCATAATCCAAATTTCGATTTTATTTTCAGCGGAGTAATATTCTATCGTTCGAAAATGGTTGACGCGTCCGGCGAGAATTATGTGTACGTGTGTATTTCGATGCGTTATTCATGCGACGGCCACCGAAAGTAACCCAGAACTCGTGTGTCATCTTTATTATAATTTTCCAAGGTGAAACACGTGTGTGAAGCGAAAAATGCTCTTTGCGGATCGCTTACAAAGGCACAGCTATTAATATTTAAAATTAAAACCTATTAAAATCTCGCAGAAACTGCGGAATATATTCGTAATATCACACAAGAATTGTATACATAATTTCCTAACATTATTCAAATATTATATAAAAAAGTATCTAAATCATGGATTTTGTAATTCCCTTTTAAAAACTTTGAATTATTCATCGCTATATATTAAATCGACCGAGCGGCCACGGATCTCGACTCCGGTATATGTTCAAACACTTCAAACGCGCGGCGTCGCGCGAACAAAGAGCTCGCGGCGCGGCGGAGGGAATTCCGCAGTCCGCGCGCGCGTTTCACCCGGTATATATTACCCGGCGCAGGACGATCACATGAACGAAAAGAATATGCGGCACGGACAAGGTGAGAGACGGAGGGGGGGGGTTAAAGGGGGGAGAGGGACGGGGAGAGACGGCGCGGGGATGGGGCCCCGAGGAGGAGAACAGAGTCGGCGGGACGAGGATGGCGCGCTCCGTGAAAAAGCGACGAGAGAGACGGAACGTAGGAGGGTTGGCAAGGGACGGAGCCCCCTCCCCGAGAGGGGCGTGGGGGGAGGAGGGGAGAGGAAGGGTGAGAGACGAGGAGGGACGGACATCGAGTGTCCGGGGAAACGAACGGGAGACCTTGTACATCGCCGAGAACGAAGCTTTGTGTCGGACGGCAGTTGCGTGAAGGGAGGAGAGTGCCGGGGCCCTGCCCGGGACAGAGTAGGAGAGAAGAGAGGGAAAGGGCGCAGAAGGGCCCTCGACGCATAAAGGTCCTCTCATACGACCGGACGGGATCCTTGTCCTCCCCCCCCCCTCTCTTTCTCCCTCGTTCTATGGTTTGCCAGCGGGGCCGAGCCGAGAAAACCGGATTGCCGCTTCACTTTTACGTTCGAATGCCGGAGTAAGTATATTTTTCGGGGACGCGCGCCGAAGATGTGTGTTACTTGATACGGAGTCCTCCCTCCCTCTCCTCTGCTACCTTCTCCCCCTCTCCAGCCGTATATACACTTTCGCCCGCGAGAGTATTTTTAGCCGCGGACCTGTGTATTTTTGACAACCGATCTCAAGAGGAGGGGTGGGGGGGGCTTGGACCGATGCCCCTATTAGATGCCCCCGAGAATCCACGCACTCGAGAATAAATGCTTCGATCTGTCAGCGATTCGCGAGAGGAGATTTTAATCATCTCTCGACGGGAGGAAGGCTCCGATACTCTTGTCTGCTGCAGCAGCGAAACGCGATCGTGTATATTTCCACGAATTACATCGTGCGCGGGGGAGTCTAACAGGAAATGTTGCAGTCTGTCGCAAGAAACGATATAAGGTGAATGTGAATTTCGTCAATGATAGTTTCCATTTCCGTGTAACAAAGCGATGTGTCAATTACGCTTTCACTCCTCGATTACTTTCGATTCACTCTCGCTCTTGACTCCGGAGTCGGAACGTTTTAATCACGTTTTCCGTCGTAGGGTGTAATATACACGTCGGGGGATTGATTCCCGAAGTGTGAAAGTATACGGAACGTGCGCTATACGATCATCGCGACACCGTAATTCTGCAGATTAGTATACGTGACGCATCCACGACGCGCCGAGGTGGGAAGCGAATCGTAACCGTGGGAGCGCGTCAAATGAAACCCGACGACGACGAAATCGTCCCTATCGCGCGGCGAGAGAGAGAGAGAGAGAGAGAGAGAGAGAGAGAGAGAGACAGACAGAGAGGCGGCCCGTAAACCGGGGCAGTATCGCGTATCAGCCGACTAATCAGTGAAATTCATTCATTAAGCGCGCACGCGAAATCCCGCGGCGGCGGCGTCGTGGCGCAAGAGAGGCGCGAATCTAATAATGAGAAATAAAAAAAGTTTCGAGTGCTCAGACGGCGTGTTAAGCGCAAGGATTGCGTAAACGCGATTCTCTATGGAATAGAATTATTATCGGCTGTCAAGCGAGTCACTTTGCGCTTACGTACAGTACGTGTTTATTTATAAATAGCTACGTTACTCAGCGTTGCTCCTCCGCCACCGCAGCATCGCATTACGTTTTTATGTGAAATCGTACCTCGCGTGAAATTAGAGGAGGAGGTGGATTAACTCCGGAAACGCTATTGACATCGAGCGATATGTATTGCTACATCGATATGTAAATACTGAGATAATGGATCACCATTTTAATTAATGTAATAAAAGATTTTGACGTAATATTTACAATCTAGACTTTTATGAACAAATATCTGTACGATTTTGCCGAAAGGTCTGAAATTTAATTGGATATCTGAAAATAATTTTGTTGAATCATCAAAATAATTATATTGGAAATTCAAATTGATCAGCGATGCTGCAAAAAATTTTGACATTCTAGCAACCAGTTTTTTCCAACACATAATTATTTTGATGATTCAACAAAACTACTTTGAAATTCGTATCCTGCTAAATTTTACGACCTTTTAGCAAAAAATCACTTTTTATCCATGTAATTATATTAACTGAAAAGAAAGAATAAAAGTACACTCGATCAAATTCAATCTTAAAACGATACGAAATGTCGAATTTACACGGAAAAAACGATTTTGTTGAAAGGTCTAAAAATTTTGCTAAAAACAGATATGAAAATAATTTTTTATTGAATCATCAAAATAATTTGTTGGAATGTTAAAACTGATAAGCATTGCTATAAAACGTTTTGATGTTCTAGCAATTATTTTGACTTTCGTACAAAATTATTTTGATTATTGAACAAAAATTATTTTCAGATCTGGATTCAGCAAAATTGTTCTTTCCGTGTACGTATATCTACAATAATATTACAATTAGGTAAAAAAAAACCCTTGGAGGTTATACATCGAAAAGTTAATGGACCCCGGACGAAGTTAACTTGACGAAGCTTTCTCTCCTCGAAACACACGCGCGGCGGTGTGCGAGGTGTCAGTTATACTCTCTCCACGAACAACAGGT